ACGGGAAATAAAACTGGTTGAACGAGTTTCCCTGCGACGTTCCCTCCATAACCCCCATTTTGCGTGCTACCCCGAATCCCTAAATATCCCTACAAAATTCCCACGGAAGCAATAAATTGATTATTCGCTGAAGCAAATAACTCCTTTATGGACTTCTCCTGATCAATGTTGCTTATTTGGACACACGAATAAAGAAGCCTGATAACAACATTTACATTTTGAGACATTACAATTTATCTTATATCATCATATAATTTATTTTAGGATCATATGAAAGATGCCACAACAGTAGTTTTTCCAAACAGAGCCTTAAAACATGTTGTGACAATTCTGATATACAAGTGCAGGACAATAACACAATATTGGACGGAAATGTGTTGAATAACATCGGAAATAGTGATTGAATAGAAAGAACATTCTTAACTGTATTAAAAATTTTAAATATTTTCTGTATCTGCCTTCATTTTGTTTAATATGTAAGTCTATAACGTCATAGGCGTATAGGTATCTCACTTGAGAGCCGTTAAAGATGACGACGACAGCTCTTGCTTGAAATCAAGAATGCAGGCAGTCAATGCACTACCGCGTTCATGATTTTAAACAAGAACGGCTGTCGCCATCTATAACGGCTCGATCAACTTTTTAAATCAAGCGACGTATATAACTTAATCGTTAATTATGGATTCAGCCGTTCACGCTTGAAATCATGAATGGCAATTTCGCGTTCATAATTTCAAACAAGAATGGCTGTCGCCATCTATAACGGCTCGATTTACTTCCGGTCAGCGTTCGTGAATCAAAAACATCGTCACAGATGAGGTAAGTACAGATATGAATCTCACGTCAAATTGCTGATTGTTTTGTGTCACACGGAATTCTCACTTCCGGCGAGCGCTGGCAAGTGTCGTTCTGAAATTTAATAAGGAAAGAGATAGGAAAACGCCGTTCGAAAGACGAAAAATTGTTTTTTTAAAAAGTCTACGCTACCGACGGCTATTTTGGGAATTAATTCTTCAAGAGTAACGGTAAGCGATCACTTTTATTGATTTCTTTTTATTAAAAATGTTAATAACATTTTATTTAGCAAAATTTTGTTTTTTCCCTATCTACTTCTTATTAAAATCATGAAATACACTTGCTGGGAATTTCAGATGCTTGTGTTTAAATATTAACAAAACAGCGAATGATATAAATGCCTCAAAGCATAACTCTCGCATAAAAAAATATGAATACTTCTATAATACGTATAGTTTTATTCCTCTGCATTATCAAAATTTAATAAAATAGTGAATTAATACAATTTTAAAGTTTATTTAATCCGTGTGACATAATTTGCCGTGAGATTCATATCTGTACTTACCTCATCTGTGGCTTGGGCTCTGTGGCAGCAGAGCAGAATGATGCGCAGAATGGACTTTTACAGCCCTTTAAATTTTAAAACAAATGTAAAATGGTGTTCCAATGTCGTATATTAAATTCTAACCAAGAAAAACTACTTAATATAGGCCCGTGATTTACCTAATGTTGTCATTTGGGTAGCAACGAAATGTATAAAACAACGTTATCCAAAATTGTCCACTGACTATACGGTCTCTACCGAAGTATAGTTTCGAGAGAAAGCTTTAAACTAAAAACATTACCAAAAATTGAAAACCCTTTAAAAACTTACCGTTAAGACAGGCTGTTCTTTCATTCTCCCTTTATCCATGGTCGAATTTCCAGTAGAATTGTTTATAAACCAGTACAGCGATGTAGCGAAATTTCCGGTCGTCTTTCACAACAAATATTAATAACATCACAACAAGTCAATAACTTGACATGTATCGTTTTCCATACAGAATCGTTTTCCCTGTCCATTGAGTTATAATTTCCAAAACTAACCAGTCGCTATAACGTAAAATAAGCGGTTATTTGTGAACAAAAATCCCCTTTGATGACACGAAGTAAATATTAAACCGGCGCCATCTTGTCTTCTCCAAATATTACAAATTTTCCCGCCAAAAACTCTTGAAACTGACGTCACAGGTGTGATGGCACTGAGCATGCGCGTGTCTGTTTTTCATGTTCAGAACTTCATGTAACCAAGCTTGTTCTGGCTCGAACAACATGGCCGTTCAAATTTTCCAAAAAATCATACGAACAAAACTAGCTTCTTCTCAGCACGTACATATAACATACGCTTTCTAAAACCACGAAGATTGCATCGAGGAAATTAAATTCACCAAGCAGTGTTTTAAAATTGGAAAATTTAGCATCGGAAACGGAAATAAAAGAAGTCGTTTTTAAAAATACTTGGTTATCAAACTAGTCTTAGTACTTCAATGCCTTTTATATTTATAGCGACAAGATATCTAGCGTGCTGGCTCTAGACATCCATTGTTTATTTATAAAGACGGCTAAGAGTTTGCTGTATGATGGGAAGGAGGGTTTTGAGGCAGTGAGGTTGATTGTTTTGTTAATGTCGCGAGGGCCGACGGGTTTAATAATGACAGAGGGTTCAGCAAAAACAACGCAAGTTAGCCGAAGCTACTGAAATGATTAATACAGGTCCGTGCCGAAATTATATTTGTGGCATCTAATCAGCCTAACCCCAGGATTCTGGATTCTGAGCCAGCAGCCGGCTATTTAGTAAACTACCAGCTGTATAATCACTATATAGTTAAAGTTGAATTTTATAAGATCAACCAACCCCAAACCCTTCTCTAACCCCTTACCTTTTGAGAGTTAGGGACCGGTCATAAAGTAGAGGGGGGGGGGCTATGAAAAATTGGGGGTGGGTCACTATTTTTCAACACGTCGAAAAGGGTGGGTCAGGAAAATTTATGCACTGCATTAGGGGTGGGTCAGGTAAAATTATTCACGTCTCACAATTTAATAAAAAGCAAATAAAAACTTTTGCGAAATCTCTTTAACCTATTAACTTTATATATTAAACAACAGGAATTCACATTTGTATACAGTACATTAGGAAGTGTTCTAGCTACCGTAGTCTACTCAATGTACTGTCATGCATTATGTTTGGACATAGTTGAATTATGTTCAAGAGTCGGGCGGCGTGTTACAACATTTCAATCTCGGAGATTTTTCGGGGATTCTGACTAAACTAGTAAAGAATCGTGGTAAGCCAATGCTGCCAACGTACGCGCACCTATCTACATTACCGTACAGTACATTATCTACATGATGGGGGGGGGGTCACTAAGATTTCTGCTCTAATCTAGGGGTGGGCCACCTCAATTTATTGTCACAATTTGGGGGTGGGTCACTGTAAACCAGTCTTTAAGAAATCAATTTTCATAGCCCACCCCCCCCTCTACTTTATGACCGGTCCCTTACAAAAAGTTTTTATCGATCAAAAGTAACTCTTTTGATGAGAGCATGGGCATACCCCCCCCCCCCAGTTTCTTGGGCAAACAAAGCCAGTCGGGCAGTATTCGCTTCACAGTCGGGCAATATTGGCTTATTAT